AATGTGGATCCATTTATCTCATTTAATGTTTCTAGATCAGGACGAAATAAAAAAGTGAACTTTTATTCGAAATTAGAACGAATTTGATTAATTATTTATAGATTAAGACACCAATATGTGCTCATACATTTGATACGCATGTTTCCGCCCATCACATCTGTGACCAGTAAAGCGTCTTTCATAAAAATGATGATTGATGCAGAGAGATTGCACAAGTTTTCACGGTACAGTAGAAAGCTACGTAAAGAACGTGCGGAACACAAGAATATAAAATTATTCGCACGTCAAACAATGGTTAATATCAGAGTATTCGAGTAAGCATTTCTTCATCATGGACTTCTAATGACTACGCCGAACAGCACTAAACAACAACACAGGACATGAAAAGTTTCGGGAGTGCACGGGAAAGACGCAGTCTTTTGGATCAGAGGTGTCATGAGAATAGAACTATCTCTAGTATCTACATCGGTATCAATATTTTTTGTTGGAATAAAACGTATGTAAATGGAATGTGACTTAGGTCTCATGATAATTTAAAAATGTCCACCCAAAAGAATTAATTTCTCAAATTAAACATTCATCTGAAATGAGTTGTCTTGAGTCTTCTTCACAGAGGACCGTCCGGGGCTCGCTCAGGGGCCCTTGCAAGCGCAAGCAGCAAGAGCGCTGCCAACAGGTACCAAAACGTTGTTGCGACGCCGCCGAGGCAATAAAAGCGCCTCCACTCGGCCCCGCAGGGAGTGCGGTCCACATTCGCGGTACCGTTACCACAAACCCGCCCGCTAAATGCACTCCTCGCTCCTCATGCTGCTGAGTGCATGTAGAGATTGGCACCGCACAGTCCGTTTGAGAAGTGCCGCAACCAGGTACGTTTGTCGTCTTTAAAAAACTTATCTATGGAAATGTTAAAATGACCGCCCTTAAAGATGTCAGAAAGCTTTACCAAACATAATAATAGTACTTATGGGCTCATGCTCCTGAATTTTTACACCTACATAACTTGTTGAATGAAAATTGAAGATAAGTATTTTCTTATATATACGAAATAGCGGAACCCGGCAGACGTTGTTCTGCCCTTCACCTCCCTCTCCCTCCTTCCCTCTCTGTCTCTCCCTATTTCTATCTCTCCACCTCTTTTCGTATTTCTCTCTCTATTCGTCTCGCCCCCTCTCTTCGTCTCTCCCTCTCTGCCTCTCTCTCCGGCCCTCCCTCTCTCTGACTCTCTCCGTCTTCCTCCCACTCTCCGTGCTTTCTCGCTCGTTCTCTCACGCGTCCTCTCTCACTCATCCTCTTCGTTCTCCCTCTCTCTTGCTCTCTCTGTCTAACTCGGTCTACGTCTCTATCTCCCTCTGTCTCTCTCTATCCCTCTCATACACATTAAGTGGCAGATTCTGTATGTCTTTAAGCAGGTGGGTTAATATCGAGAATGGCCGGACCAGCGAAAGTGTAACAGAATGTACAAGAAAAAACAAAATTTTAGTTTTTAATGACCTAAAATGCTTCATTTGGGAGTTATTTAACGATATATAGTCAAAAATCGTGCAGTGTGTTGCGGGTTACATTTAACATGAATATGTATTTTTTTCTCTTTTTTTGAAAAGTTTTCCGATATTTGAAGAATTATTCTATTTCGTGCGAAGATGAAACCAACAAGTCATAGATACTTAAAATTGGCCCAGCCGTTCTTGAGATATAAATGGTGTAACTAACACAACTTTGTTATTATATATATATATATATATATATATATATATATATAGAGAGAGAGAGAGAGAGAGAGAGAGAGAGAGAGAGAGAGAGAGTGGGAGAGAGAGATGTCTAATGCGCGCAGAAATTAAAAGAAAACGAAGCAGCCCCCGGTTCTGTAAGAGGTGTGTATAGTTTTTTAGATACCCAAGAACTCGGGAACTATCGAAAAACAATGAGGCAATTTCGATTTCGACAGAAAAATTCAAATATTTGATTGAGATATTTCGCCTATTCTCATGCTTCGACATCCGTGCACAGACTCAACTCTCACGCTCGTTGTAGCACTGTTTTCGCCACATCTGACGCCACATAATAGTGACGCTCTAAGGAAGAAGTCACCCACCATTAAATATTTACTACTCACGTGTTGCGTTATGGAAGAGCAACTCAATTAATATTATTGGTAGGTAAAGAAGTGTTGGTTTGTTTGCACTACGCAATGTTATTGCAGTATTCATAAAGGCAGTTTCTCTAAAATATTTCATTTATCGCTGTATTTTACGAGAGTAACCCGGAATTGCTCGGGTATTTATCATGTAATAAAAGTGAAAAGGAATGTATTATGTCAATACTGTATTCCATGAAAGAAATTTCAGTTGAATTCCCGCCCTCCCCGGCTCACTCCATCTCACTCCACTCCGCCAGGCCACGCTCCACCTCCGACCCCACCACGCGCCGCCTTCCTCGCGCCGCCTTCCTCGC